GTCTTAGTCCAAGCCCCTTGCTCAAAGCAGGGCCATCTCTAACTAGGTCATGCCAGCCAAGACTGTCTATCCAGGACTCTGAAATCTCCAATGATGGAGACTCTACAACCTCTCTGGGTAGCCTGTTGCACTGGTTTTAGTTGTCAGTATTCTTCTGCTAAGAAAATGCAAAGTGCCTCTTTGAGGTCACCTCTAACTCTAACCCTTTTTCTAGGAATTTATGACCCAAGGCTAGAAGAGATGGACCACGTTGCTTTCCACAGAAGGCATGCAGGGCAAGATGCAGGGAATCCCCCTACATCTACAAACAACAGAAGTTGATCACATTCCCTTTAGTTTCTGGCTGAAGTCGAAATAATGCATTTCTGGGATGCTAGATACCTGGTTCTTCATTACAGATACGGATAACCTCCCCCACCCCATCTATGTCTTTGTGCAGTCCAGGTTCTCTACAGTATTTAATGAGAGTTAGACTAGCATCTGTACCATCCATAACTTCAGTAGCTTTATTCCAGCCAAAGCAAAAAAGCAGACAAAGTCTCTGTGAAAGGGAAGAAGAGAATGAAACAAGAAACAGCAAGATCTCCCCAAGGGTAGTGCCATTTACTCTGTGCCATTAAGTTAATCAAGGATCCCTCCCCCCCACCCTGATTTGGCTCGAATCACAACAAGAGTGAGTTTCTGGCATCCACGTGTCATCATCTTCACACCAAAGCAAAGCAAGGAGCCCAATAGCTAAAGCATAGTCTCTGGGCCAGGCAACACCCCCGTTTCAAAGAACAAGGGTCCCTAGAGACCTGAAGGCAACATGGAGAATGGGTGCACTTGGAAACGGAGTAAGGCTGGAGGGAAAGGGCCAAGAGCCTTGCTCTTCTTGCAGGGTCTCTATTCCATTTGCCTGGACAGTTAAAAACACCCTTTTCTCCAGTGCAACACCCATTCCCTCACCCCATCATGTCTATTCTCTGAGTGCATGGAGATCAGGGGCAAAAGGAGGTGGTTCCTATGCCCTTTGGGTCTTCTTGGGAAATGCATTTCCTCAAGCAGGGCTGGTTCATGCTTGTCTTGGTGCTCCTAGACACTTGGCCCACCTCAGTTATTAGGTTATGTATTGCACAGTTGCAGAACTGGAGGGTCTGCTACAGGCCAGGAAGGTGGAAGGGGGAGCATCCAGGTAACAGGTTCACGGAGGGGGTCTGGTCTGGCTCTCCTGGTTCTGTTCATCTCCCAAGCAGCTTTTACTTCCCAGATCAGAGCCTGGAGAAGGGAACAGGCTGCAGCATCCAGAGCAGCTGGGCACCCAGGGAAGCTTGCATAGAGTCTGAGTCCAGCAAGGAGGACCTCAGCAAGGGCCCCTAGCCATCATTACTCAAGCAAGGGGCACCAGCACCCATATCCTCACATCAAAGCAAGCAGAGCAGGGGGCAGCAGAATGAGGAGAGTGGCTGGCAGGGAAGAGGAGGCTCCCACAACAGGTTTCCTAGCCATATCTGCAGCAGCTCTCCCACCCCAGGTATAGTACTTGGCCATGGCCACGTTGGGGTTCCCCTGGGCAGGGTCGAACCACATCTGGATGCAGCGCCCGTTGCCCCGTGGTGCTGTGGTGTACTTGTAGGAGTCCGACCAGATCTTCTCGTACAGGTCCGCCGCGCGGGGGAAGACCTGCTTGAACGGCCGGCACATGGTGCCCCAGGGACAGTGGTTCGGTCCTGGAGACGACAGAGGAGAAGACAGCACTGAGCAAGCAGCAACTGGCAGGAACGGGCTGTCTGGGTCAGCAGAGACCCAAACATCCCAGGCCAGTGACTGAAGTGCACATGGCCTGCTCAAAGTGAGACTCAGTGCGAAGGCTGGTGGGTGCCCTGGTTGGGTCTGCAGAGGGGATGCAAGGCTGGGCCTGGATGGAGGGGCTTATGGATGAGATGGAGAGCTCAGCACCAGTAGGAATGAGGGCACCCAGGGCCTGGGGCTGGCTCCACCAAGCAGCCACCCCTGTCTCTACCTTGGGCAACTGCACATACATGGTCATGAGCAACTCTGTGGAATAGAGCCGCTTCCAACCCCCACACAACCCCATAGGCAAGGCCAGCATTAAGTCAGGGGTATCTTAGGGTATTGGACCAACTGCATAAGCTGGGATAAAGTTAGACAAGTTCATGAATGCAAGCCATTCCTCCTTGGGGCCCTGGTTATAGGAAGCTAGGCACCGCGACCGAAGCACAGCCCAGGGGAGGGGTTGGGAGACCTCCAAGATATGGCAGAGGCCAGTAAGGAAAAAAAAAAAAAGAAAAGTAGTAAAGTAGCCGCCACCGGACATCAAGGGCCATTACAAAAGAGCAGGGGGAGACAAGGCTGTGGCACCTTTTCAGGGGTTCACCGACCTGTGGCCCAGTTCCAGCCCTTGTGCCAGTTCTCTTTGCAGGTGACGTAGTCTTTGCAGTCCTCCCACCACTCCTCGCAGTCCTCCTTGCACAGCGGCACATGGAGGATCGCCTCCCGCTGACAGCTACTGTCTGTCTGCATGGGCAGAGAGCTCAGCACCTCAGGGATCCAGCCACCTCCAAGCATCCCTGGATGCAGGCTGCACCCTGGGGAGCAGGGGCACCCCCTTTTCTCCTACCTTCAACATGCTGCACCCCAGGCAATGCCTGTGACCAACTGGCTGGACAGACCCTTTGGGCAGGGGAGAGCAGGCTCCCAGGTCCAAGAGCCTCCTCTGCCAGGGGCAGGGGGCATTCGTGCCTCACAAGGTGGCTGGCAGGTATGACCAGCCAACACTGCATAACCCAAAGGGATTGGGGCATACAGCATAGTAGGGCAGAGGCAGCTCAGCAGCCCCCATTCAGGCTAGTGATCTAGCCAGGCTGGACCAGTGAACTCGTCGACAGCAGGACTGAGCATCTGGGGAGCCGTAGATGGTGGTTGCGAGAGTGGAAGTCCTCCTACCCAGAGAAGATCTGGATGAGCTGGGAGC